AAATTGCACCAACATGTACTAGGGTAATGTTGCAGAAGTCCGCATATGGTGAACGCCAAGCGGTGAGACCGGGGACAAAAGGATTATCTGGCCTAACTACCTACTAAAGGAGGCCCACTGTATACTATATCCACAAATATGCACGCATTGCATGCTTAAACCAAAGGTGACTAATAAGAGGACTCCCATTTAGTGGTCCGTCTCTCTGTTGAACTTGCATTACAATATAATTTATTGCTATAAGTAGATATGACAACTATTTTTAGCCGCCTCAGAATTCACATATTACATCTAACAGCAGCTCCCAGTCGGAAACATGATAACATCTGACACAGCTTTGATGATAACAGTGAGATCGCGGAAGACTACGTCAGACATGACTAGCTCTGGCCACGAACAGCGTTATACTCAAAACAACAGAAATCCAGGTTGACATGAATCTCAGCGCTGACTCAAATCAGCATTCACTCTGACTTCTACATTCGACAGATATATTTCATTACCACTAGCACTCAGCTAAACTGCCAGTTGATAACAACATAGGAAGACAATAACCTCCATGTATACATAGTCTATCGTAAGCTAAGCGTTGTAGTAGGCCTGCAGACAGCTTACGCACGGCAGTAGTCACTATGTAAGTCATAAAAATATGATGGGACTTTATGCGACTTGTTAATAACTCTCAGTCTAAACCCCTAACCTGTTTTTCTACGTTACCCCATACAGATTGAGAGTGCATGCTGGATTTCGGTTTCCTACAGGTCCCTACAGGCCATATAATAATAAACCAGTTACTGGTTTCAGTAAAAATGGTTACTAAAATTAGCAGTTTAGCACTGGCATGGACTTATAGCAGCATTATCTTAGACCTCGTAGTCCAACTCCTAATTCAAACGGACACAGCCTGGGAGGATAGAGCTGAGAGGGCGGTAAACATGGCAAACCCTGATGTTCTCAGGGACTCTAACATGTAGTTACTCGGAATGACATAAACCAGATTCCCCACTCCTTGCTGAGGACAAAGAAAACATAAGCCCAGCGTTGATTTCAAATCAGTGTCACTTCTGACAAACGTTACCGTCAGAAATAGTACCAGTACTACTAACACTTAGCTGCATTGCTAGTTAGTCATAGCAGAAACAGTAGTAACCGTATCTGTCCGGGCTGCCTTGGGTCTATCTTCACACCTACTAAGAGTGAGTGAGGGTAGATAGTACGTAGTACCCGCACAAAGTCTACTGTCACTTGTAACTAAGTTAGGAGGCGTTTCGGCGGGCATTGGAGAAAGCAGCCTACGCAGGGCCCGTTTAGTCTTCGAGACTCCGGATGGCGGTGAGGAGTGCAGCCGGCGCTAAATACGTCCTCTATCACTTTAAACTACCCCTGAGACTATCACCTTCTGTACCAACATGTTGGTACACTTGGTGGACCTCATCAAAATCGATAATCGAACATACAAACACACTGCTTAAAAATGGGGGTAAAAACGAATAAACAGCTGAATTTTATGAAAGTTCTGTCTGCATCCGATAAGTAATTTTTCTTGACTATAGGGAGTTCATAAAATAAAATTTGAACGTGGTTCTGTCTAAGGAAAATTAAGAAACTAGGTGAGTAAAATGGTCATTATATTTATTTTTGGATACAATTGTAACGCGCTGCAAATTTGATTTACTCTATACAAACTGGATTACAGATATCTCTATGTATTCACAATCGTTAAAACTTTAGAGAAAGTTGGGAAGAATACATAGTATTTATTCAAGTACAATTATACCATCCAATGAAAATCTACACTTACTTATGTATTTCCGAGTGGTTAGGCAACGAATAAAGAGGAGCAGATTAAGAATCGTGGATACGATTGTTCCAATAATGATGATAAGGATCAAATCCGGAGTGAAACCGCGCTCTGTAAAATGAACAAGAGTTAAAGTACAGGCTTCATAAATGTATATAATAAACGGTCACAAAATGGCCACTGCATAGATGCTAGACGGCTGTAATTTGACTTGAAGGCTAAACATTTTCCTCGGTACAGTTAAGAGCAGAGAGATACGGACAGAATCTTATTTTTTATAAATTGACTGCAACGAAGATGCGACTTTTGATTTAAGAATATAATACACATACATTTGCCGTATAGTTCCAAGCATAATATTTGATGGCACTAAGGCATTAAAAACTAAGTTAAATGAATGACATTTGCATACTTGTTTGTGAAGCTGTTAGGAAAAACAGGCTTCGGAAAACATTCTTCATTAAAAGCCACGCGTTAGACCGTGCAACGTTGCCGAAGAGTAATCTACGAGTTTCTCTTACCTACAATGTCAGTTTATTACTATTATTTTGGAGGAGACTTCTTGGTGGGCTTATGTAATCTTCAACATGTTCCAGAGCGTACTGTTTACAGAGGTGTCATGCAGTTTAAACAAATGAGAAACATTATTTACAATTGTGTAGTTCTGCTTTGGGCCTTACGTATGCAACAAAGGCCTCATTTTCCGTAGTAGTCCACAAATATTTTTAGTTATTTCCTCAACACATTCCGCTCTTCATTAATAATGATCTTCCGTTCTGGTATATTAAATTGAAGTTGGTAGTCAATGAAGTTGAAACTGGCGGCAGATGAAAAATGCTGACAAAGACAACGGCCACTGTAATGGCCCTTTCTGGGTGACTAGCCGTCAGCAGCTAGTCATACCCAATCCTGCGTGGTGCACAAACCGAAGTTCGAACCAATGACCTGTTGACAAGAACTTCAACGTTCTAACAATTGTGCCGTGAGCTCATTGTCTTTCTGGTTTACATAGGAAATACTGTCATTCTTTGATGAACGCTCACCGATCCCTGGTACCTTTCGGTCATGCATTTGGCTTAATCGCGAACCACTGTGTGGCTGCTGGAGGTTACCGAGAGTCAGCCCCAAAATAGAGTCAGACACGTGAGCGTTGACAAAAGAAGTTTGCAATGATTAAGCAGACGCGTATTAACAGGAACAGATGGTGGAGAATGCATAAAAAACGCGCGACCAACCATGTTATGCAGATCATCTTCACCGATTCTGATAATTCACACTGATACTGGTTTATTGGACTGCCTACATCTTCAAAACGGACCAGGAGTGTAAGTTTGCAACCACAGGTAATACTGTCCATATCAGAATCAGGACAAGGGGAAAATTGATAACTTAGGCAATCTGCAGTACAGCCCAGATTTTGTGTAACATGCCGACATATGCATAAGATTTATACTCTCTAGCTGAACGGTATTGATTAAGGTTGTAATACTGAGTATCGTGTAGTCTTTTCTGAAGTTATTTCAGTCATGATAGGAAGCCAACTTTTTAACGAGCTTCTTTCCGACCGCACTATAAAAAGTGGCTACTTAAGTAGAATGCGTTTTTATAATTGATTTTGACTGCCTGTATAGATGCAAATATATTTTTCGGATAAAGTAAACAAAAAATTATTTTGTGTACTCGTTTGGTGGCAAATGGTGCTTTCTTTAAATGTTACACTTAAAGAAAGGGTATCCGTCGGTTTGAGCTTTTTACCACTGTGATGTGTTCATTCATAATACATCGTATCCGCCAATACTTAAGGCTGCTTACAATGTGTACGGCATGTTCCACATCTGGTACAATATTTTGTGAGAGCGAGGGACTACTTCCTCGAACCGTAGGCGAAAACAAACTTTTCCTTAAACAGGATGTACACAGCGCGCAGTTTGTAAACCGTAAATGCAAACGTAGTAGTAAGTTTCAAAAGTATTTGGCAATTTATAATCCTTTTTAACCGAAAGATATCCTTTCGACACCTTTGTTTACGTATTAAATTTAATCGGGTACGTTGTGTGCGAAAAGAGGTAGTCGTCACTCTGCCAAGTCTGTTATGTACCCTCAATTAAGTCAGGAAGATAGATATCGACGTGTGCCAAATGTGCAAAGGACTGATTTTAATATGAATCCATCACTTACTTTTAGTTTCAGGCTGATTGTGGCTGACTGCAGTCATTTCGAAACGCGGTTTTATTTCAGCCATTGGACTCATAAGTAGGCTGGGGGTAGTTGAAGTAGAAGCCGATGCTCTCTTAATTGACTGGCTGCTGATTTTTTGCGAATTGCGTCCTCTAAAATTACACCACCATTGCCCATTAAGGGTTAGTCCGTCGGGAGCCAATTCGTACACCACTTCGATCTGCTCTTTGGAGAGTTCATTGTAGGTGCAGTGAACAACACCATCCGGTTTTTTGTTAGAGCAGTCGGGAACCCCTAAAAGATAAATAAATCAAAATTACTTAGCACTGAATTTTGATTGCGGTGTTTTTTTCGCAGCTCGAAACTAGCTTTTAAGAAAGATTTCTGGTAGATACCCTGTAGTTTTCTCAACAAGACGGGGAAATGAGAATTCTCAGTAATACCTATAACTGTTCGCTAAAATCCTGGGAGATTAGGGCTAAGGTTAACATTAAGGGTTTGGCTGTGTTTAGTGTTTGGAAACATGTTACGTAACCTATATCTTAATCGACGCAATATCTCTTATATGACTTAGATATTATATAAATTATATTATACTGCCCTGTCCTAGTATGGAAAATAACATACTAGCAAGACAAAGTGCATATTACGAAACGAATACAGAGACTGTTATAGTTACGGGTTACTCACTTTTTCTAATTACTAACATTATCTAAATTTACGACTTTTAATTTGCGGCATCATAAAGTCAGAAAAGTATTTTTAAAAGAAGATGGACATGGGAACAGATATTGCGCACAACCCTTAAAAATTCAATGCAGAGAATAAAACTAAAGGGATCATTCAACGGTAGTAGGTCCTATTCGGTAAAATTAGCGTCCATGAAATGGCAGCAAATTTCTTATTGCAGTAGTCGCCGGTTATTAAGCCCACCTCGGGCCCAGACCAAATTGGGCTTAATACGCGGCAGGCGCACTAACAGGTGAGTCCTGGTTCTTGATTAGCAAACGCAGGATAGACACTATACATTAAATACGTACTGTATTATGGATG